TGGTGTTCGTGTTCTTATTCTAGATGAAAAGAGTTCTACGAGTGGTCTGGTGTATAACTTCTCACTCCTTCTGCAACATCCTCATCAGCTACTTTTCTCTTGTTATATAGTTCCACTCATGGGGAGCTGGCTGTTTAACATAGTGCTAATTATTCTTGTATTAGAGAGATATTCCTCTTCTTTTAGCCTTCTCCAGTGGGTTCTATCAAATTCAGCCTCTCAGTTGACCTAGAATACTTCTCCTCCTGCTCCCAAGTGTGTGAGCCCCCTCCAATCTGAAGATGACATCATGTCTTCCTTGAGTCTTCCCTGCACCAGGCTACATATTTCCAGCTCTTTAATCTACCCTTTCAGTGGTAGTGTTTTCAAACCCTTCTACATCCTCAGTGCTGTTCTGCAAAATATTCTACTTTATCAATAATGCTTTTAAAATTTAATCTTCAAAAATGAACAGAGTACTCCAAGTGTCAAAATAATTAACAGGGCTTTTGGTGGTGTTTGTACTTATTAAAGCTGGTGAGATAAGCAAAGATTGACTCTTGTGAGTCTCTAGTCATTGCTGAAATTTGTAGTCTAGATTAGCTTTATTCCTTTTACAGAAAGCACATCGGGGATGGGTGACCAAGAAAAAATGATCATCAGACAGATTGTTGTTTGGTTGCTGGTACTGCCAGCTAAGTCTGAAACAGAAACAATATCAGTACGTAGTATGGCTGTATCAGAATAAGCTCTTTGTGATGTATACATCCGTTATGGAGTGGGTTGAAGAGAGAGCCTATTAAAACAGAGATTCCAAATATTTCTAATTTGAAGGTTTCAGAAACTTAAAGAAATCTTTAAAATTAAAGGAGGTGTTGATATTTAGATAGGATGTTCAATTTTGGTAGTTGGACAGCAGGAATTGATTTGTAACTTGTTGTTCTACTGATACTGCTTTGTGTTTTACACGTACAGAATACTGTGTGGTTTATTTTGGACCCAATATTGATTTTATTTTTGTATGGTCAAAAGTATCAATACAAATTTCCAGAGATCAGTAACTTATATAAAATCATCATTAGGGGTGCTTGGGTGGCTCAGTGGTTGAATGTCTGCTTTCATCTCAGCTTGTGATCCCAGGGTCCTGGGATTGAGTCCCACATCATGCATGGATGCTTCTCCCTCTGCCTGTGTCTCTGCCTCTCTCTCTCTCTCTGTGTGTCTTTCATGAATAAATAAATAAAATCTTTTTAAAAAAGAAACCTCTTTAAAAAATAATCATTAAATTCCTTCTTCATATTGTGGCATTTAAAAAATCAAAAGTGTAACTGGACTTAATTTTATGGTATAATGTATTATTTAAATGAGAAGTGAGCTGTACTCCTAAGCCAGGTCAGTAAAAAGAAGATGAGTAGCTCCTTCATAGATAACTGTTCTGCTCAAACTATGCAGCTAAATCATTTGTTTCTCAGGTTGACCTCTTCCTAAAAACCACATCTGTCCATGTCGGTCCACCTGCACTGTTAATATTTCCAGTAACTAAACGTTTCCAGTAACTAAACTAAACCATTTGGGAACAGTAATTGTTGTAGGGAAGATTTATCAATGGATGCTCAAATTCGTGAGTGAAAGTATGATAAGAAATGATATTTATATAGTTTCAAGGTCTCCCCCAACAAGAAAAGTGTATGAAGGGAAACTAGTAATATTACAGCAGAGAAACCTAGTAGATGAAGCCATAAGCAAGTGATCACAGAGTTACCATCATCAGTTTTGAGACATGGATGGACACTGTCATGTGCCTTCTGGTATGAGGCATTGAGAAGGGTGCAACATTACCTGTAGTGTTGTGCTTGTCAAAATGCATAACCTGAATTTAGTTACGAGGAAGCATTAGAGAAACCCACATTGAAAGACACTTACTCTTCAAGCATCAAGGTCATGGGAGAGAGATTGTCCCAGATGGGAGGAAACAGACAACTGCATGCAAGGTGTGATCCTGGACCAGAAAAGGGACATCAGTGGAAAACAATGGGCAAAATGTTTATATAAGTTTGGCTCTAGATTATTTAATAAGTTTTGTGTTGATGATAGTTTCCTGGTTTTGATTGTAATGACTGGTTATGTAAGACATCACATTTGGGGAAGCTGGGTGAAGGGTACACAGAAATTCTTTGTACTATTTTTGGAATGTTTTGTGAGCCTGAAGGTATTTAAAATGAAATTAAGCAACAACAACAAAAAGTAATTCAACTCAGCTGAGAGAAACTAAGACTTTCATGGTTTTACTTTGTGATGGCTCTCTTGATTGGTCAGGGGCTGCTCTTTGCTTCCTAAATCTCCACTGTGAGCTGAATAGCTGAGGTTTCTAAATAAGGGATTTGGGGAGAAGTTAGCCATTACCATATATTGGATTGCAACTATACTTTGGAAGGTTTTGTTTAATTAATTAATTTACGTATTTATTTTTGTACGGAGCTGTAATTACATCTTTGGGTTTCCAGTGGCTCTGTAGGTTATTTGAGCTTAACTGCTGTAGTCACTAGAATCCCTAGCTGGAAACTTAGCTCTGTAATTAATTTACTGGTTTGTTTTGTTTTTATTATTAGGTTCTGCATTCAGATTAGTCTCATGGATTCTTCTGTGATGTGTCCTGTATTACTGAATTTTGTATTTGTTGATTGTCTCTTAGGAAGAGCTGATTTTTGTATAAGATATTTTATTTAAGCTGGAAATATCATACTAAATATATTATTTTTTCTTCAGAAAAAGACCAGTCTGGAGTTTTGTAAATATGATGAATATGTAAACTTATACTGGCATAAGCACCAGGTGGTAACCTTTGATTGGTAATAATTAGAATGGAGGAAATTAATACATTGGGAAAGGTTTCTGTTAGCAAGAACAGTTGTTAATGTATGACTCATAGATTAAGTCTAGAAGAAACTTGATGAGGCTGTTTTGATCAGTGTGGATGGAAGAGGGAGGAACATGGACTTGGGAGTCAGAAGACCTAGTTTTCTATCCCATCACTGCTTATTATTGTGTCTTGGACAGGTCATTTAACTTTTCTGAGCCTTGAGTTTCTCCTCTGTAAAACTGGAAGTCAGACTGAAAAAGACAAATACCATATGATTTCACTCATATGTGGAATCTAAAAAAAACAAATTAAATGAATAAATAAACAAAAAGCAGAATCAGAGCTATAAATATAGAAAACAAATTGATGGTTGCCAAAGGGAAGGGGGGTGGTTGGGCAAAACGGGTGAAGGGAGATACAGGCTTCTTGTTACCAAATGAGTAAGTCATGGGGATGAAAGGCACAGCATAGGGGATATAGATAGTGTGGTGACAGATGGTAGGCACACTTGTGCAGAGCACGACTAGTGTATATATACACTTGCGCAGTCACTAGGTGTACACCTGAAATTAACGTAACATTGTGTTACATTAATTAACATTGTGCGTATTCAACAACACAACTGACAAAACTTGGAAAAACAAAAAAGAAAAGCACAAAGATGACAGCATATATCAGTGACCTGGAACAGCATCTTACAGGACCTTTTTGTTGGACAGTTTTTCTGTATCTTTTACTCCAGAGAAATTACTTGCTTTTATATGTCAGCCACATTGGCCATCACCTCAGGATCTATTAGGCAAGTGTCGTTTTTTGGTAGACTTTCTTTGGTGCTTTAGTGTTCTTATCTGAAATCATTCGATGCAAATATGTGCTAAATTTTTTTTAGAAGAAAATGTATTAGGAGACAGAGGGACAGGAAGTTGTATGGACAATTAGAAGGAAGCACTTCTGTGTTCAGTTTACTTTCAAGTTTTAGGTTTGAGTTGGCCTTTTGATCCTCGGGGAGAGAGCAGTGATTCCTAAAGCTTCAGTTATTGTTTTTGTCTCAAGTCCTTTCTTTTATTCTTAAATTTTCTGATTTTGACATTGTACCATGGTTACAAGAGTGAACATAATTGTTTTGAGGAATTAGACACTGAAGTGTTTAGCTCTAAGGGACATGTCTACAGCTTACTCTCAAATGATTAGGAGAAAACTAATATGTATGTGTACATATCTGTATATGGAGGAGGGGAGAATGATATAGTTGCTGTGGTGATGTTAACACTTGGTGAATTTGGGTGAAGGGAGTTCTTTGTGATTTTCTTGAAACTTTTCTCTAAGTTTAAAACTATCTCAAAAGTATACTGGGTTTAGTTATATCTCTGTACCCTGAGGAAGTTTGAGTCACAGTTTTGGGGTGAGGGAGGTTAGAAGCACCTGGATAAGCATAGATCAATAAGTGATAAGTGAGTAATTCAGTAAGTAGTAATTCACTGGCAAAAAATTAGTTGTTTCTTTAACTGTTTTTCCTTAGCCAGAGCAGAATTCGTTTTTTTTTTTTTTAAGATTCTATTCATTTATTCATGAGAGATGAGAGAGAGAGAGAGAGAGAGAGAGAGAGAGAGAGTCAGAGACACAGGCAGAGAGAAAAGCAGGCTCCATGCAGGGAGCCCAACGTGGGACTTGATCCCGGGTCTCCAGGATCAGGTCCTGGGGTGAAGGCAGCGCTAAACCGCTGAGCCACCCAGGCTGCCCAGAATTCATTTTTTTATAGAAGGGCCTATCTAGTGAGCTGCTGCTATATCAAAGGAGAGAAGACTACTTGGAAGTGAAATCAGATGATTTAAAAAGTAAAGACTTTAAATTGTGTATTTATAAGACTGATACAAGAATAAGCAGAATGCAGAAGGCAGAAATATTAGGACTTTAAAAATTATCCAGTGCTTAGATAATATTTCTTCTTCCTGAGAGGTACAAGTTTTCTATAATTAAGGACTTTACCCTACTAGTTAGTAGATATTAATTTTTCCTTTATTTTAAATTACTATTTGATTTCAAAGTTAATAAAAATTTACAAGATATTTATTATCATTTTAGCCTTAAAAATTGTTTTCTAACCAAAATTAACTCTCCCTCTTCTTTCATATCCACAATGACATCTCTTTTGGAAATGCAGAAGCCAGCCAAAGGTAAGAGATTTGGTTTATTATGCAATGCTTCTAAGGGTCTTATGTGCATATTTTTGAAATACTGGTAATTTTCTTCTCAAAAATATTTTCTCTCTGTCACTTTTGTAAAAGTAATGCAAAGTGTCAGCTTGTTCATAAATCAGAAATCACTTATTGGCATAGGAGGGACTGGAGGTTTATGGAAAAGCTGTATTTGTACTTTGACCAATTCTGGCTAGTTTCTTGGCAACTACAACACAGATTCCTTTTGTGCTCTGCTGTTCACCATGGATTGGCTTGAAACTGGTCGTTCCAGACTGTGGTCAGAACCGTGCTAGGCAGATTCATCCATGTTGTTCCCCAGGCAGCTGGGGACACATTCTTAGGCCAACAGAAAGCTGCCCTGGCCCACAGTTTCGTCAGACAAATGTGCTTTCATCTTAGATTTAAGCTCAGATTCTAAAGAAACTTCAGTGGAATCCATCAGTTCTTGTATCTCTTAAGGAATTTAGAGGTGTGCCAGAATGGGCACAAGGTCTGTATTTTTGAATTGACCATTTGCTGCCATTACTTGGAACTTGTCAGGAAATTCAGATTTTTATCTACATTCTTAGAATTTTGCTTTTGAGTCTATGGTTGAATTATAATTCCATTCTCTATTGCTAAAATATGTATAGACACAGCTCTTTGGGACTGAATAATTTTTTAAATAAATATGGCACTGGATTTCTTTATATATGTCAAATTAACTTTATTAGTTTTATCTCTTCCGTGAAAAGGTATTGGATTATTTCAGTTTTCTGATTTTTTTGTTGGAGCCAGAGACCAGAGATTGCAGTAAAGATGTGAGGAAATATTACATGACCATTTAAAAACTATTCATGTTTTATTTAATTCAGTTGTGTTTTGATATTTAGAGAAAATGTTGACTTGACATAAAAATTATGGAAGGACCAACACCAGATTACTAGCATAGTAGTTATTTCTAGGAAGAGGTATGCTTGGTGAATGGGAGATCTTTATTTTTTCCTTTTGTTTCTGTGTTGTTTGACTTTGTGCAATGAATATCTATTTCTTTACTGTTACTTGAAAAAAAATTTTTAATTTTAAAGGGATAATATTTAGAAAGAAAAGGGCTTATCTGCTTTAGGAAATCCTTGGCTGATGATTCCTAGAACAGTTTAAAGGTTCCTATAATTGCAAAATTACTAAAACTTAAAGAGGATCATTCAGCATTGTGAGAACTGAGTGTTCATTAGTTCCTAACTTTGTACCAGGTTGTGGTGCTTTCATATAATTTGGGGGAATGGAGCCAATCCAGCCTAGTGATGGAGAGCCTGGTGATAAACAGATCCCTGGTGGAAAGGCTGGTTTCTAATCCCAGCTTCCCCACCTGCCAGCCATCAGGGTCTCCACTTGTTGGTACCTCAGTGTTCTATGAACAGGGCCTAGCACCTGTACCGGCTATTCTGATGGTTATTTTAATGGTAGCTTCTCTACTGGAATTGAGAATTAGAAATGCAGTTGTTAAGGAAATTCCTAAATTTAAAAAAAGAAAAGAAAAACCCCATAATAATTGAGAGAGGAGTGCCACTTAGAGCCCACTCTCTGATAACTACACACCATGTGGTGATGGCACCTTTGAAGTGAGAGCTAAGCTTACAGAAAAAAAGAAGTAATATAGTGTCTACTTAACCTTGTTAAAAACAGAATTAAATAAAAGTTTAAGATATGAGAATTGAAAGCTAGAACAGGGGGCCACCTGGGTGTCTCAGTTGGTTAAGCATCTGCCTTTGGTTCAAGTCATAACCCTAGGGCCCTGGGATCGAGTCCTGAGTTGGGCTCCCTGCTCAGCAGGCGATATTATTTCTCCCTCTGCCCCTGCTCATGTGCTGTCTCTTACTCTGTCCCTCAAATAAATGAAAAAAATCTTAAAAAAAAAAAAAAAACGGAACAGAAGAAACTTAATTTGAGCTTTACATTTTATTTATCCTAACCATGGAGTAATGATTCTCACTATGGCTGACAAATTTTAGCTTGAAAAGCAGCCCCTACCGGGAATTGTGATCCACAGTCCTTTGGGACCACCTTCCATCTTCCTTTTTCTTTTCGTCCTAACCCTGTTGGAGTATTGCTAACACAGTGAGCCACCACTCTTTTTTTTTTTTTAATAAATTAATTTTATTGGTGTTCAATTTACCAACATACAGAATAACACCCAGTGCTCATCCCGTCAAGTGTACCCCTCAGTGCCCGTCACCCATTCACCCCCACCCCCCGCCCTCCTCCCCCTCCACCACCCCTAGTTCATTTCCCAGAGTTAGAAGTCTTTATGTTCTGTCTCCCTTTCTGATATTTCTCACACATTTCTTCTCCCTTCCCTTATATTCCCTTTCACTATTATTCATATTCCCCAAATGAATGAGAACATACACTGTTTGTCCTTCTCTGGTTACTGTGACCAAGTTCAAAAAGGGTGTTGCCTGAGTCCTCCTCTGGGATTTTGATGGAATCTTGTCTCACATTTAGATCTTTCATCTATTTTGAGTTTATCTTTGTGTATGGTGCAAGAGAGTGGTCCAGTTTCATTCTTCTGCATGTGGATGTCCAATTTTCCCAGCACCATTTATTGAAGAGACTGTCTTTCTTCCAGTGGATCGTCTTTCCTCCTTTATCGTATATTAGTTGACCATAAAGTTCAGGGTCCACTTCTGGGTTCTCTGTTCTGTTCCATTGATCTATATGTCTGTTTTTGTGCCAGTACCACACTGTCTTGATGAACACAGCTTTGTAGTACAACCTGAAATCTGGCATTGTGATGCCCCCAGATACGGTTTTCTTTTTTAAAATTCCCCTGGCTGTTCGGGGTCTTTTCTGATTCCACACAAATCTTAAAATAATTTGTTCTAAGTCTCTGAAGAAAGTCCATGGTATTTTGATAGGGATTGCATTATACGTGTAAATTGCCCTGGGTAACATTGACATTTTCACAATATTAATTCTGCCAATCCATGAGCATGGAATATTTTTCCATCTCTTTGTGTCTTCCTCAATTTCTTTCAGAAGTGTTCTATAGTTTTTAGGGTATATTTTGAGAACCATTTGAATGGTAAATGGTTCTCCAACCTTTTATTTTCAGGTTGTAGGTGTCCTTCTGTCTAAAATGAGTCTCTTGTAGACAGCAAATAGATGGGTCCTGCTTTTTTATCCAGTCTGAAACCCTGCGCCTTTTGATGGGGTCATTAAGCCCGTTCACGTTCAGAGTTACTATTGACAGATATGAGTTTAGTGTCATCATGATATCTATTTAGTCCTTGTTTTTGTGGATTGTTCCACTGAACTTCTTCTTAAAGGGGAGTTTTAAGAGTCCCCCTTAAAATTTCTTGCAGAGCTGGTTTGGAGGTCACATATTCTTTCAGTTCCTGCCTGTCTTGAAAGCTCTTTATCTCTCCTTCCATTTTGAATGAGAGCCTTGCTGGATAAAGTATTCTTGGTTGCATGTTCTTCTCATTTAGGACCCTGAATATATCCTGCCAGCCCTTTCTGGCCTGCCAGGTCTCTGTGGAGAGGTCTGCTGTTACCCTAATATTCCTCCCCATGAAAGTCAGGGACTTCTTGTCTCTTGCTGCTTTAAGGATCTTCTCTTTATCTTTGGAATTTGCAAACTTCACTATTAAATGTCGAGGTGTTGAACGGTTTTTATTGATTTTAGGGGGGATCTCTCTATCTCCTGGATCTGAATGCCTGTTTCCCTTCCCAGATTGGGAAAGTTTTCAGCTAGGATTTGTTCAAATACATATTCTGGCCCTCTGTCCCTTTCGGCGCCCTCGGGAACCCCAATTAAACGTAGGTTTTTCTTCCTTAGACTGTCATTTATTTCCCTTAATCTGTCTTCATGGTTCTTTAATTGTTTATCTCTTTTTTCCTCAGTTTCCCTCTTTGCCATTAACTTGTCTTCTATGTCACTCACTCGTTCTTCCACCTCGTTAACCCTCGTCGTTAGGACTTCTAGTTTGGATTGCATCTCATTCAATTGATTTTTAATTTCTGCCTGATTGGATCTAAATTCTGCAGTCATGAAGTCTCGTGAGTCCTTAATGCTTTTTTCTAGAGCCACCAGTAGCTGTAGAATAGTGCTTCTGAATTGGCTTTCTGACATTGAAGTGTAATCCAGATTTTGTAACTCTGTGGGAGAGAGGGCTGTTTCTGATTCTTTCTTTTGAGGTGAGGTTTTCCTTCTAGTCATTTTGCTCAGTGCAGAGTGGCCAGAAACAAGTTGTATTGGAACACGGGGGAGTATCACTGGTCCGTCTAGCTGGTCTTCTGGGGGAGGGGCCTGCTGTGCTGATTTTCAGGTGTTAGCACTTGGGGGAGCTGCTCTGCCCCTGCCTGCAGGGCTCAGCGGGGGTTGTTTACCCCGTGGGGCCCCAGGAGGAACAGCCGCAGTTGCTATGGCAACTCTGGAAGCCTGGATTCAGCCTCCGCAGGAACTACGGGGCTCTCCGTCCGCAGGGCCTGGAGGCTCCGGGGCGGGGCCGCTGATCTGCTCAGCTCCGGGCAGGAGCGTCTTCGCTGTCTCGGGCCCTCCCGGCCTCTGCCTGTCCCGGGGGAGGCCGGATCCTGGGCTGTGTCCCGGCGCCCTGTGCTCCGGGGCCTGCGCTGGTGGATTCGCGCTCCCGCCCCGCAGCCCCCTCCGCGGAGCCGCCGCCCGAGCCCCTCCGAGCTGCTCCGGTCGGTCCCCGCCGTGCGCGCTGCAGCCCTTAGGGGGCTCGGCGCACTCTCCTGGGGCGCAGGTGTCTGTTAGTGTCCCCGGGAGCCCGAGGGCATCCCCGCCCTCCTGGGTCCTGCTCCACCTCCCTGCGAGCCCCTTTCCGCCCGCCCGGGAAGGTTGGTGCAGCTCCTGCTCCTCCGGGACGGGGCTCTCCTGTCCTGGGGACACTCGCCCCGGCCTCAGCCCGGCTCCTCGCGGGGCCCCTCCCCCTCGGAGGCCTTTTGTTCCTTTATTTCTTTTTCCCCGTCTTCCTACCTTGATAGAAGCGCGGACTCTTCTCACTGTAGCGTTCCAGCTGGTCTCTCTTTACATCTCAGGCCGAATTCGTAGATTTTCAGGATGGTTTGAAGGTTGTCTAGGTAATTTGGTGGGGACAGGTGATTTGGGGACCCTGCTCTTCCGCCATCTTGCCCCTCCCCTGAGCCACCACTCTTGACAGCTATGTATTTCGCTTTGGAATCCGGTGGAGGATTAGTAATGGACAACATAGTGCTTTAGCCTGTGATAGCTTCTGGGCTCCAGGGCTCCTGCCCCTTCCTACATCTTGTCAACCATTGGCCTTCTCCTTGCCTCTTAGGCCCAGCTTTCTCATCACTGCCCCCTTCCAGGGAACAAATGCCTTCCTTGCTTGCTGCTTTGTGCACAGATATGAATGTTTTGACCATTTCCTGCCTTGAAGGCCTTTTTAACCAGTCATCCTGGGGGTTCCCCCCCGCCCGCCCCCTGCAGTCTTTATGTTGCTCATTTAGTTGTTCTTTGTGTGCCTTCCAGAACAGGTCTTACCTTTGCAGCCATCTTTTTCTGCAGTGTTTTGGCCTGTGGTATCCATGTGGCCCCTACTCCATCCTTCCTATCCCCCCCCCCCTTAGTCTCATTGTAACTATTTTTCAGGGAGTCTCAATTTCTTATCTAAATACAAGCAAGCAATCTAGCTTTCAAAAACTTAATTCTCCTTTTCTTTCTTCTTTCCACCTTTGGCCCTTTGCCTTCCTATATCCCTCCATCATTTTGAGTTAATTTCAGGCAGGAGATGGATATAAGTATGCGTACTTAATTTACCACCTTAATCCAATTTCCTTTCTTTAAAAAATTAACTTTTAGACTTTTGGTCCAGGTAACATTGTGAGTTCAGACAGGTGCAATCTCCTGCCAACTTCAAACTCACGGCAGCGACAGAGAAAATATTTTAAAATATTAAACTCATGTCATCATATTAAAAAACAACATAATGTAACTTCCGGGACCAGTAGCAAGCTGGGGCTGAAGCAGCATATTTACTGGGCCTTGGGATCAGAGGCCGATTCTCAGAAGTGATAGAAGTTCACCTCTTGCAGATTAGAGGGGGCCTGATGTATCGGGGAGGACCGGGGAACTCACCATGTGAAAACTGATTTGAGTGAGGCTCCAACATGAATGAAGGCTAAAGGAAAGGGTTTTGGCCAGCAACATTGAGCTGTGCAAATTGCAGGGTGTGGAGACATTGGACTTTGGGAAGACCAAAATCTGGGCTTCAATAGCTGGGAGTGGCAGTGTGACTAGTCATGTAAAGATGGCCAGAAGGAGAGGAAAAAAACAAGCAACCACGTAACCATGAAACAAACTCCCAATTCAGATGCACTTGCAAACTAACATATAAAGGCCCAAGAGGAAAACTGTCATCAGGAAGTAAGGCAACAGCAAATTGAACACCAATAAAAAATAAATTTATTAAAAAAAAAATGGAAGTAAGGCAACAGTGCCTGGCTGGCTCAGTCGGTTAAGTGTCTGCCTTCAGCTCAGGTCATGATCTTAAGGTCCTGGGATTAAGCCCCGTATTGGGCTCCCTGCTCAGTGGGGAGTCTGCTTCTCCCTCTCCCTCTGATCCTCATCCCTGCATGTGCTCTCTCTCTCTCTGTCTCAAGTAAATAAATAAAATCTTAAAAAAGAGAGAGAGGTAACAGACTCCAAAAATTATAGAGTTTGAACTACAAGCTGAAATGATTTTAAAAACAGTTACACTTGGGGCACCTGAGTAGCTCAGTTGGTTAAGCATCTAACTTCGGCTTAGGTCATGATCTCAGGGTCCTGGAATCAAGCACTGCCTTGGGCTCCACAGTCAGCGGGAAATCTGCTTACCCCTCCCCTGTCCTTCCCCCCACTTGTGCTCATTCTTGCTCTCAAATTAAAAAAAAAAATCTTTAAAAACAATTACACTTAAAATCCTTAGAGACTTGATTATAAAATATGAAATCCAAAAAAAAAAAAAGAAAATTCAACGAAAAAGCCTAAAGGATTTTTAAAAATCCCACAAAAAACCACCAAAAATGCATATTTTGGAAAGTAATAAATGTAAAAGATCCAAACAGAGATGATCTGTGATGTTCCACCAGGTGGCATTAACCACCATCCATATTCCAAGGTGTAGTCTTAGTACTTTTTATCTATATAGATTTTGGTTCAAACATGGGATCATGGTCCAGACTTTCATTACTTCCACATTAATACATGAACATTTTCTTTCTTTTTTCATTTTTCATTTTATTATTTTTTTATTGTTTTTAATACATTTATTTTTTATTGGTGTTCAATTTGCCAACATACAGAATAACATCCAGTGCTCATCCCGTCAAGTGCCCACCTCAGTGCCCGCCACCCAGTCACTCCCACTCCCTGACAACCTCCCCTTCCACCATCCCTAGTTCGTTTCCCAGAGTTAAGAGTCTTTCATGTTCTGTCTCCCTTACATGAACATTTTCTTATCAGTATTCTATAGTTTTGAGACTATGCAATATTGCACATGAGTGTTATGATTTTTTTGAATCTGCTGTTTTATAACTACTTTCAACATGCTGTAGTTATCTTTACATTTTATTCTTTTAAAAATATCTTTATTTTCTCTAAGAAAAGTAAAAATGAGAATACATCAAAACATAAAGAAGACAAAGATCACTAATCTTATGCAGAAATAAACTTTATATGTGTAACTGTGTGTGCATATATATGTATATATGATAGTCATCATATTATAAATATTGTTTTGTAACTTCTCCTTTTTTCACTTAACATTGTGAAGGATTTTCCATGTGAAATAAAGGTCTATATCATTTATAGGATGTTTAATTGCTCATTGTAAAACTGTGCCATAAATAATTTAACCAACTTCATTTTTTAAAGCAGGAAGGTACTTTTATTTCACTACTATGAACAGTATTATCTGTGTTGTAACACTGTTATAACATTATAAGTGAGTTAAGGTTTTGTACTTAGTATATACTGTATGTTTATTTTTCAACAGGTGTTTGCATATGATCACTGTTTCTGGTCTATGGATGAATCAGTCAGAGAAAAGTATGCAGGTAAGTACAGCATCCTGTTAACTACTATAGGAAAGGTGTTTTAATTTTTTTCCCATAAGTATTACCACATTATTTTGTATAACTTTAAAAACTATATAGAGAATTTCTTCCCATCTTTCCTGTTTTTACATTGATTGGGAAATAGGAAATTGACAATGTGCTGTTCATGTTATGAGACAGTAAAGGTAGATGAATAGGGTACACAGTTGAGATTATCGCACACATTCCCAGACTTTACATGGTACTTGCAGCACAAAGTAGCCACTCAGACTCCTTTAGATGTCTGTGATGTGGTCTAGAGAGCTTGGTACAGGAGAGTTGAGCAAGGAAAAAGGAAACCTGTAGTTTAGTTTCGGCTTTGCTTCTGCCTGCTGCTGTGACTAAGCAAATCACTTAAGTTTTCATTGTTTCATTTCTCTCTTTAATAGAGAGATTTTCTGGGGATCCCTGGGTGGCTCAGCAGTTTAGTGCCTGCCTTTGGCCCAGGGTGTGATCCTTGATCCTGGAGTTCTGGGATCGAGTCCCACATCAGGCTCCCTGCATGGAGTCTGCTCCTCCCTCTGCCTGTGTCTCTGCCTCTCTCATGAATAAATAAGTAAAATCTTTTTTTTTTTTAAAGAGATTTTCTAAATTTACTTAGAATTCTGTTAATTCTCTTACGCTCCTCAACAATGACTGTCTCAAGCTCCTTTACACCACAAATTTAAGATTGCAGGGACAGCCTTTTATTTTACTTTATTTGTAACTGCTTATGATACCTGTTTCTAAGCAGTATCTTTTAAATATTGAGTGTCACATTGTATTTACTTTTGTCATGAGACAAAGTAGTACTACAGCTGGTTAAAAAGTTAAGGTTAATTTGCTCTAGCTGGCCCAATGGATTGCTTACAGATTGCTTCTGTATGGGAAGTAAGATGATGATACACTAATCTGGGAAATTAACTAGGAAGTGGGGCATAATGGAATGCTATTTATAGAATTCAAAGTATAACAGACATAGCAACATCCAGTTCTTTCATATTATAATAAAGACTCAAAGAAAGATTGAATGATTTTGTTTTGATTATTGGCATATTTAATTTAGCTTGTGGAGGAGAAGTTGAACCTTTCATTTCATTTTTGTCCATGAATGAAAGCTAGAAGAAATTTCCAGGATATTTTTCCCTGCTCTAGCTAGTATGTATTGTAGGCCCTATAATTAAAAATTGTTATTGAGGAAAAGGAGAGGAGATTGGATGTATGATTATGTTGAATTCTAGTACCCAGTGAATAAAGCATTAGCTGGTGGTATGTAGTTGAATTCAGATCCATGGAGGTCCCTAGTATAAATTTTGGATATTTATAGCCATTGTTTATAAAATTAGCAGTTCATTAGCTTTTTGCATTGCAGATGATTTTTGGCCAGTGTTTATTAATTCAAGTTCATATATCAGGAACTTTTTACTCTTTTCCTATCATGTGCTAGCTAGAAAATACTCAAAAGCCATAAACTTTTGGAAGCATTCATTGAGTCTAAAAATCTTGTGTGGAGATACAGTTTGAAAAAGTGCATTTTGGGGGGATCCCAGGTGGCTCAGTGGTTTAGCGCTGTCTTCAGCCCAGGGCCTGATCCTGGAGTCCCAGGATCGAGTCCCACGTCCGGCTCCCTGCATGGAGCCTGCTTCTCCCTCTGTCTGTGTTTCTGCCTCTCTGTCTCTCTCTGTCTCTTGTGAATATATAAATAAAATCTTAAAAGAAAAAAAAAAAAGAAACAGTGCATTTGTGAGGCAGTTGTTTTTGGTTTTCAAAAAAACCAAATATGTTCATATGGCTTAAGGTATCCTTTCTTATTTTTTTTTCTCTCTTTTTCAGGTCAAGATGATGTTTTCAAGTGCCTTGGGGAGAATATCCTTCAGAATGCTTTTGATGGTTACAATGCATGTATTTTTGCCTACGGACAGACTGGTAATGTTAAATAATATACATACATATTTAAGCTTTAAAGATCATAACAGAGAAAGTATCAAAGAGAATACATATTGTTAGCATCTTATCAGTTAAAATTGATAAGGAGCATTTTGACTTCTGTACCTCTGTGGTTACCAAGAAAGAAAATCTATTTAAAGTGAAGGAGTCATTTTTATAAAAGTATATTGTATATAGTTTGTCCAGTTGAAAACTATTTTTTATGAAAGAATGCTTCTGATATTTTTAAGAGGCAGTATGTGGTATGATTAAAAGAGCATGGATTCTGAGCCAGGGTACAGGATAGCCCATCTCCAGCCCAGCTCCTTTAGTTTCCTTTTCTGTAAACTGTTGGTAAGTATAGGCCTTCCCTATAGGGTTGTCACAATGAGTTTATCATTGAAAACTTATAGAAACAGCCTGGTCCTTAAAAAGTGCTGTTTTACTTTTAGTTACTATGACATTGATAGAGTGTCAAGTGATAAAAGCAGCAATTTGTATGATTAAAAATACATTTATAAAAGCATTGCTTCTAAAGAAGGAAAAAGAGTTAGACTTAAGTTAGGACTATGCGTGATTTAAAATTTTCCTTTCTACTTTCCTGTGTTCTCTGAATTTTCTTTAATGAATATGTATTTTTGGTACAATGGAGAAAATAATATTATAGTGGAAAAAGAAGATTATTTTTTGGTTTCTACACTGTTGCCAAAGGGTAGCAAGTTAATTTGCTCTGAGGTCTATAGGGATAATGTGTATTTTTTTTGCTATGATTAGTGGCTTGGAGCAGTCAGAGTAGTATTCATCATATGGATCTCCCTAGTTAATTTTAGAAAGCTACTCAGGCCTCACTGGTTTTCAGTTATTTTAGGTTTTTTTTTTTTTTTTTTAAGTATGAAGATGGTTAAAGAAAATTTTAATTTTCTTCCTAAAAGATGTTTACTTCAGATTTTACATGTGTAGTAGGAAAGTTGCTATATTTATTAGTTTTGTCATTTTATTTGGGTATATTTCTTATTTTGGGCATTTTGCTAAGTGCTAGTAATTTATTATGAGCAATGGAAAGAGGGTTATGTATTTAAACTTCTCAGAGACAGTAATAACTGTGATTTCCACTTTTTTAGGATCTGGAAAATCTTATACCATGATGGGCACAGCTGACCAACCTGGATTAATTCCAAGACTTTGTAGTGGACTTTTTGAACGAACTCAGAAAGAGGAAAATGAAGAGCAGAGTTTTAAAGTAGAAGTGTCCTATATGGAAATTTATAATGAAAAAGTTAGAGATCTTCTTGATCCCAAAGGGTAAAGGACTTTGAAACTCTAATGTTACAGTGTTGTGGATTAATACAGACTTATAAATTGGTTCAAGTGAAATTTTTTATATTGAACTCTGGTAGAGTTATTTATCTAGTTACTGTCTCTGTGCTTTTATCTGTTTATCTAGTTATTGTCCTTGTGACTTTGTTTTTAGTCACATTGAGCAGCTTCCTGCAGCCAGTTCTGGCTTTTGCATTTAGGGCTGAGTTGGGGCAGGGAAGTGTTGTCACATGCATATATTTGCCTCATACTGCCTTCCTCAGATATATCCAGAATCACAAACAAAAAATTATGCAATGAAAAATAAGTTACTTAGTATCAGACTGGTATTCTTAATCAAGTAAGGCTTTCTTCTTCTTTTTTTAAAAAAGACCAAGAAATTTCAGGTGGAATTACCTGTTTTTTCTTTGCAGGCTATGAAGCAAGGGAGAGGCATAATCAGAGATTTGAAACCTGGACTTCAGGATAGTTAATTTAAAAAATTCCCAGAGAGAAAGTGTGTCTCCTTTTATGGCATAGACTTTGAAAGAGAAGTGGTTCAAAAGTATTAGAAAGCCTTAGAAAATGCTATTCTCACTCTGTAGTCATAACTGAACCTAATGAGGAAGATAAGACGTATCTGAGGAAATCTGTCCATTGCACAGAGTTTTCTGAGTCATATTTTAAGGAAGTACAACTATGATGAGAGAGAAACTGATAATAACCACAGCCTGTGGCTTATGGATGTAAAAATGGTGTTTGTAAGGTCAAAGAGCCAAGTGAGCTGAGGTTTTACAGGAAGTACAGAGTTACTTACCAGGGGACATTTAATTATATTTAGATGAAGAAGACGATCAAAGAAAGGTGGTCTTAGAAGCAGGGCGTTGTAGTGATGCTCAATCAAGAGAAAACATGTTAACCCCTCACTGATACCTGTTTTCTTTGACAAAGATCTTCAGGCCTTTCACAGTGACATTCAGTTAGCGCTTGAATGTTCCTCTGTAAAACTTAACATCTGTTGAATGATCATCATTATGTGCCAGGCAATATGCAGGTTGTAGAGGAAGATCTCATAGCATGGACAGAATGAAAGTTTTGGAAACAAAAAATCATAATACAATGTAATAATGCTTTTAAATTGTGAAAGAGCCTTATACAAAAGAGGTGAGAGCAAAGATGGAATGGGGAGAAGGGAATATTCCACAGAAGGTGCTTAATGATTTTTTGTGCTGAGTAGGAGTCTGTCCACTAAGAAGTTAGGTGAGAACCAGGCATAGAGGACAGATTGTGCTAAAGCATGGTGTAAGAAATCACTTGCTTGGAGAGTGACCTCGCTGTCCAGTGTGGCTGGAGGGCACCAAGCAGGAAAGTCAAATCAGAGAGCAAAAGGAGGCCAGAGGTGGGAAGGTCACAGCCTAGGTACCCACATCTTGCTGAATATTCTGTCCTTGTACTTTTCTTGACTCTGCCCATGAATACTTGTCCTTGTACCTTCACCTCTGTGAAGAGTATCACTTTTTTTCTGTCTTTCTTTTTTTTTTTTTTTTAAGATTTTATTTATTTGAGAGAGAGAAAAAAGTGAACGAGAGAGAGAGAGAGAGAAGGAGAGAGCACAAGCCTGGGGAGAAGGGGTAGAAGGAAAGGGAGAAGCAGTTCCCCACTGAGTAGGATGCCCAACTCGAGACTCCATCTCAGGATCCTGAGATCGTGACCTGAGCCAAAGGTAGACACTCAACTGACTAAGCCACCCAGGAACCCCAAGCTTCACTTTCTTTGAGATCCCAGGCCTACTCTTGCCAGAAATTCTTAGCTGACTTCATTCCTGTGTTTTGTATTCCACAGGGCTTGTGTGGAATTGCTTGAATTTTGTCTACAACTTGCCCAGAGCCTTTAGTAATTTCTTGTTATGCTTGTCTTGTGTATAGTTAGTAATTAACAGCATGGGATTGGGGTTCACGTAGCTCTGCGTCCAGGTCCTCTAATTGTTATCTATGGAGCAAGTTCCTTATACTTTCTAGGCCTCATTTATACCAAGGGGATGATAATATTACATAATACCACAATGGGCTGTTGTGGAGATTGGCTGGGATGATACATCTGAGGTCTTAGAACATTTACTCAATAAGTGCTAGCTGCCACTGTTGTCTCCTCCATGAGAGTTTCTTGAGGATTTTTGCAGTGTTTCTAAAGCGTCAAAGTGAATGGATTAAAAACTAAAGGTGATCCCTTTTCAGTGAAAGACTATTTGAGAGAACTTAGTTGTTTTTTTAAGACTTCTTTATGTATGTCAGAGAGAGAGTGCAAGTGAGAGAGGACGTGTGTACAAGTGGGGCAGAGGAAAAAAAAAGTGGGGCAGAGGGAGAAGGAGAGAAAGAGAACTTAATTTTTTAAATTAAATACAGATTTTATGAATTCCATATCCACTGTAAATAATGATGTAATTATGTTGTTTTGTCCAGAAGATAATACAATATACATTATCTTTAATAGAAAAGGAAAAATTAAAGGCTAAAGTTATAATACGGCATATCTTGAGATGAGACTTAAATCAAATATTTGTTCCATATTTACTTCATGTACAGTTTTATAGTAGTAAATGAAGTTTTTGGTGGCTGATCCTAGAGTACTAGAGGATTCCAGATCATTAGAAAATAAGCTCATAAAATAAGAATCACTCTCACTATCAACAAATATTCTTTTTTATTGTAATGTTACATTTTTACAGAGCTTTTTTGATATAGAATATATATTCCATGCAATCATCGATGAATTTTCTTAATGTTTTTTGGTTGATATAATTAAGCATACTGTATATTCTAGGCTTTTGACAGATGCTCCTTGCTGGGTTTATTAGTTCCTTGTTTCTAAGCGGTATTTGTTTTTTAACCACAAATAAGTATTGAACTCTATTGAATCCTTTTCACTGCATTTATTGAAATGATTATGTGCCCCCTCTCCCCCATTTAGTCTATTAGTATAGTATGGTAAAGGGCATGAATCTTTTTCCAATGTTAAAACAACCCAGTAGCCCTGGGATCAGCCTAATGTTATATTTTTAAATCATTATTAAATTCAGTCTGTCTTTATTTGTGATTGAAATTGGTCTGGGTTTTCTTTCTTGCACAGTTAACATTTCTTGAGTTTCTCTGTTCTTTGTACCACATTCTGTGAAATGACAAGTAGATTGATTGTATTTATTTGACTCTGCATTCTTTGTGGTAGTAAATAGACATCCCACAGTGTACCCTTTTGAGTGATGTGATATTTTATCACATTATGAAGTTTTTCTTACCAGTCAAGATTTTAAATTTTGGTTTATATTCTTCTTAGATCAAGTTAATTGGTTCTCTTTACTTGGGATCTTTGTTGAGTTCACTATATATTTTTATGGAGCACGATTGAGTCCTTTTAAAAACAGGTTATTGTTTTAAAATTCTTTCTTTTTAATGAGCAGAAGTCGTCAAACGTTAAAAGTCAGAGAGCACAATGTTTTGGGACCCTATGTCGATGGACTCTCTAAATTGGCTGTCACAAGCTACAAGGTAATAACATCCTTTATGTAAACTGTTTACATTCACTATAGCAAATTATTTCTTGTTTAATTTGTGATGATTATTTTTCTTGGAATTAAAAAATATTACAGTAGCATTACTTAATGAGCTACTTTATACAAAAGTCTTTCTTAAAAAACTATATACGGCTATTATGACAGTTTAATTTTGAGAAAAGGTGTACACATTTGGAAAACATACCTATTCATCTATTGTGAAATGCACATTTTTTCATATTTTATGAGCTCTAAAATTGTGATATTCCTTATAATTGCATCTTAAAATTATAAATGGCAGCATTTTTTGTCCCTAGAAGTGCATAAAACAATGAAGTTTATTATTTCATTGATATAATGAAATAAAATATATGAATTGGGTAGTTGGAATTCCAAGTCTGCTAACTTGAGAGTATCACTTATCGGCCTTTTATGCTCTTCATTTCCAAACTTAGAGTTCTGCTTTGTGTGGATCCATCAGGCTTTGCGTGTTGGGGAAGTGGGGGTGGAATGAGATGCTGTGATGTAATATACATTGAATTAAGACTCAGAGAATGTTGGTCTGGTGACACTTAATCCTCTTGTGTGACTGTTGTATGACTCTGGATCATCTATCTCGCTAAGCCTCTTTGTCCCAAAATTTTAAAATGGAAATTAGTTTTATAGTCTTGACCATGTTAACAGGTACGTCCATTTGTTTTTTTGTTCATTTATCATTTGTATCATTTGGTCAATGATACTTCATTTAGTAATAAACATTTGTTACTTTGTTTGGTAAACATCTGTTGAACACCTGTCATGTGCCAGACATTGTGTTAGGTGCTGAGAATATAAAAAGTGAATGAGATGGTCCATCTCCTCAAGATGCTTATAGATGTTATCCTGTTTAAACATTATTCTTTTTCATTGATACAGCAAAATAGAAGATTATGATTTTTTAAAAAAATTTATTTATTCATGAGAGACACAAGGAGAGAGAGAGGCAGAGACACAGGCAAAGGGAGAAGCAGGCTCCATGCAGGGAGCCTGATGTGGGACTCGATCCCAGGTCTCCAGGATCAAGCCCTGGGCTGAAGGTGGCGCTAAACCGCTGAGCCACCCGGACTGCCCTAGAAAATTATGATTTTTAAAGTTTTTCATATATGAGTCAGGATTGTGTTGGCTGCAAATAATAGGAAAATATGAAAAAAATAGAATCTAAGTTCTTTGCAACATGAATTATTATATATTTTGTTCATTATTCTCAGTATTCAAAATGTACCTGGCATGGTAATAGGTGACTTCAGTATATATTTAAGTGAACAAATGAGTGAATGAAAGAATGAATGGTGAGAGGGCTGATACAGTGACTCCAAAGATACTGTTGGGGACCTAGATTCCTTCCAGCTCTCTACATAGAGCCAGCTCTATGGTAAAGCCCTTGTTCTCATAGGTGAGGATCTTAGCTCTTAGAACCAAGGTGTGAGAGCATAACTATTTCCTTTAAGAAGTCCCAGTTTCGCTAAAACTTAGTCCTATGGCCAGACTGAGTTGCAAAGGCATCTGGGAAATGTAATCTAGTTCCATGGCAAGGTGCTCAGCTCTGGGTTCTTTTACTAGAAAGAAAATGAGACAGGGTAAGAGGAGGCAACTAGTCTACTCTTTCATACATACCATCTTTCTTGTTTCTCATTAAAATCCTTCTAAGGTAGATTATATTATAGCTCTGTACTGTTATTTTTGAAACTAAAATTCAATTTGGTTAAGTAACTATTTTTAGAGCTTATAACATTAAAAAAATGAAGATCCTATCTCATGATCTTTCAGGTGCATCATGCTATCTCTTTTTTACCAGTAATGGCCACGAAGTAGTAAATCTGTGTAGAAAATTAGTTTCTTGATATTCTCAGTTTTCAGAAACAGATCTGGTATAATACATACCAACGTGGTGACACAGTGCTATGCTTGCATGAAGGGGTTACAGTTACTTTTGTTTATTGTTTATTCGTATAATCTAACAGTTGTCGTCTATTGTCATTAAAGAAAATAAATATTTTGAAATTTTTATATTAGATAATGGTTGGCATGGTGTATTTGTCCATCTTATCAAATGTGGCTTCCAAACCTTCTAATTCTCTCTGATTCTGCTACTTTATTTGGCACCTACAGAAAATAAATGTGTTTTGAGTTTTCAGAGACAGTATTGGCTATCATATTCTGTGGGGCTTAATGTTCATTGAAAAACAAAGTGTAAATTTGTAAACTCCAAATGTGGTTGACTGAGTAGTGAAGCTTGTAATGCATTTGATAGGATAGCAGGGTTTTGATATTTATTTGACAGATAAAGAGATGTGTGTCTGTGACTCGTTTCTACTTAGGATATTGAGTCTTTGATGTCTGAGGGTAACAAGTCTCGTACAGTTGCTGCTACCAACATGAATGAGGAGAGCAGTCGATCCCATGCGGTCTTCAAAATCACCCTTACACATACTTTATACGATGTGAAGTCTGGGGTAGGTATTCACATGCTTGACCTTTTTTTTTTTTAATATTTCTAAAGTGGATCATGATTTATCATATTCCATTCCTTTCAAGTATTAGATGACTTAAAGTCCTAGCCAGACTGATTATCAGTTAGGACTCAGCAAGACACAGAAGCCACTGTAGGTTAAGAGAGGGGGATTTAATGGAGGGATTGGGTGATTACAGAGTTGTTACCTGAGGAGGAATGGATTCGAGGCTGAATCTCTAGGAATAACAATGTAGATTTCAACCAAGAATGGTACTACCTCTGAGGCCACCACTAGAGCTGTGAGTTCCAGGCCTGCCTAATAGCTGTGGTCTAGGACATAAGAGTCAGTAAAGCTGCCTCTTAGTGACCTGGAAGCTGGAGAATGTAAGCTGAGACATTTGTAGAAAACCCCATATTTTCATGATCCTGCTCTCCAGCAGAAAAAAGCCGAGATAGGCCAAAGGGATGACCTGTACTTTGTTTCTGCTTTCCAAATCTGAAGCAAGTATATCTGCTTGGTAGAACCCAAGTCACATCCTGAACTCTGGCTGCAAGGGAGTCTGAGAAATATAGTTTTCAGTTCCACCCTGTCCAACTAAAGGAAGGTGAAACAGAAGTTAAACATGCTGATGGTTCAGTCTTTGCCACAGCATTTTTTGAGCTTTAAACTTGGATGGCTAGCTGTATAAGCTAATGTTAACTCTAGCTGATTTATAGAGATTCTTTTTAAATGTTACCTTCTGCTAAATAGTTAAATATTAGAAGGAACAAACTATGCTGGGGAAATTGTATTATAAAATTAGTAGATTTGTAGAATTATTTTTTTGAGTATTTGGTTTTGAAAATTATGAAGAGTAAACAGAGCCAGAGATGTATATGCTCCTACCGCACTGAAAACCTCTCTTGTTTTTCTCCTACTTTTTATGTGAATATTTGCGTATTTTATTATGATGCCTACCCCCCAGCAAATTGGTTTCAAATACCAGAAGCTAAAATAATCATGCTGGCAAAATGCTATATTTTGGCAAGATTTTCATTTGCTGAAAGCATAGTTTTCTTTTTTTACCATCCCAGCAAGATTACTGCAACAACAAAAAGTTCTTTGTTTTCTATTTCCTTTTCAGCATAGAACAAAAAACATACTGATTTTTTTAACCAAAAATACTTTTGAGTTGGGAAGCTGAATATCCTTTTGTTAGCAACATGTTTATTTATGGAAATAAATATAAATATATATATTAAAGAAAAGTTTTAAGAAATGATCCAGTCTATAGATTTGGGCATTGCTTTCTCACATTTCTTGTATTGTTGCTGAAGTATAAAATATGTTATGTGTGTGATTACATTACAGAATACTGTTGATAAAAGGAAATAATAAGTATATATAATAACTAGAAAATATGTAAATTTAATACCTAAAACTATGAAATAAGGGAATTACTATATATAAATAATATGAAATATGCAAGAAAAGGTTGAGTTATAAAGAGGTCATATTTGTAAAATATTAATTTTTTTCTACCAATAAGAATTGCAAATATTTTCTCTCAGGGTTATTGGTAAATATTTTGAAATTTTAAGCAGTCTTATATTAAGATTTATATTTTGTAAGTGCTTTTATATAATTCTCCATGAAAATTTTACTGGGTTCCCTTCAAAATGTCCCATTTTGGAGGGCGCTGTTGTTCTGGGATAACTTTCACTCTTACCTGGATTAGTAGAGTTGTGTATAATTTGGGATGTATCTACCACTAGACCATACAGTTTTCTTATACTGCTTTTTTTTTTTTTTTAAAGATTTACTAATTTTGGAGAGAGAGTGCTCGCATGTGCGAACAGGGATAGGGCAGAGAGAGAGGGAAACAAGCAGACTCCTCGCTGAGTGTGGGCCTGACTCAGGGCTCGATCCCAGGACCCCAAGATAATGAGTCAAAACCAGGAGTTGGCTGCCTTCATCAACTGAGCCACCCAAGCGCCCCTTCTTAGACTGTTTTATAGCAGAATGAACTAGTTTTGAAATAACAGTAAATAATGTTTTAATTAAGGATTAGACAATAAGCTTATTCAGTAGAGATGTAGGACTTACTGTATTCTTTAACTGTTGATTTGTACTTGTTGATTTACTTTGCAGACATCTGGAGAGAAAGTGGGCAAACTGAGCTTGGTTGATTTAGCAGGCAGTGAGCGAGCAACAAAGACTGGAGCTGCGGGGGACAGGTTGAAGGAGGGCAGCAACATTAACAAGTAAGTTTTCCAGAAGCTTGCTTTTATTACTTTATGAATTTAAGAGCCAACTGGGGGAACTTCTGTGGTTATTAAAAGAATAAGATTCTGGAATGATTGAGGCTATAATGAAAAAATAATTGAGAATTTTTTCCATAAATAAATAAATATAAATAAATAAATAAATAAATATATATATATTTTATTTATTATTATTTTTAATGGACCAGAGCATGTTTTGTTTTTTTGAGATGCCTGATGGGGCTAATGAGCACAGTCAAGTCAGAGGTTTCTCAAGGGCAGCTCTATTGAGATCTGGGGCTAGGTAATTCCTTGTCCCAGGGGCTGTTGTTGTATACTATAGGATGTTTAGTGGGATCCCTGGGTCTTACCCACTAGATGGCGGTAGTACCTGCCCACCCCCAGTTGTGACTATGGAAACCTCTCTCGGGGCCTTGCCAGCTGTTCCAATTGAGAACCACTGGTCTAAACTGTGGAAAACAACCAAGGTAATAGTCTGTCACAGTCCAAATGTTGATCTCAACCTGGGTGTCACTGTCAAACCAACATCAATTTGTGTCCTAGCCACATTGGGCTTTCCCTTGTATGACTGTTGTGGTGCTTATTTACACCAAGAAGCTAGCGTTTTAGAAGGTAGTGTTTTGTGTACCAATTTCTTCATATAGTTACATTTTCTATCTCAAAGCTAAATTATTAGCTCCTTGTGGGCAGGAATCCAAAAAGACACATAACCAAAGTAACCAACTGGAGATCATAGATCATCATCCAGATGCTATGCTATTATTATTGAGTGGTGATATGCATATATGTATGATATTATATATGATACATGTATAGATATATATGATATATATAGATACCTCATACACACACATATATGCAAATGTTTTTGCCTTGTACTAAGTTTTAATTAATTGTATTATGTTTGTGGCTTCTCTTAAAGATATGTGATGTTTGTGTCTTTATCTTAACCTAAAGGTTTATAGCTCATGTTGCTGTTTACAAAAATGGAAAAAAGTAATTGAGCTAAGCAGTTTTACTGCTTGCAGTAGCATTTGAAGGATATCAGCTTTTAGAGCTTACGTGTTTTTAAACTGAGCAGTGAAATGCTGACAACAGTGCTGTTTTCATGCACGTACATCTCAGTGTTCAGTTTTTGTGTGAAAATGTGACATTTGATATACTCAGTTTTTTATGATTATTCCGGTTTGTTGCACCATGCAGGTCCCTCACAACCCTCGGTCTGGTTATCTCAGCCCTAGCAGATCAGAGTGCTGGCAAAAACAAGAATAAATTTGTTCCATATCGTGACTCAGTTCTCACTTGGCTGCTCAAAGTAAGCTTTCCACCCCCACCCTTTCTGGCATACTCTTGGTGGTTGGTAGAAAGGAAGAGAAGAGTAGATTTTTAATCCCTCCTGATTATCATTTCTTCTACCAATGTTCAAATTCAAAATCATCAGTCTCTCATAGGATAATCATAGTTTTAATAGATGAAGCATCTGATTCACCATAACCTGGAAGCAACAGGATTTTGGCACATGGAACCACACAGGTGCCTTTGAGATTTTGGGGTAGAAGGACCTTGTGCCAATCTGATAGCTGAGTGAGTCATAGGAAAGGATTTCCACTGTCTTACAGACTCAGCTGGACTACTCTGTCTTTCTCACAGACTCCTTTTGTTTGACTGACATTTTGGACCTGTTTTTCTGTTTAATGTCAAGGCTACTCATGATCATTTTAATTTACTTTCAGCTTCATAAGTTGTTTAAGGATACAGAGTAGAGCACATAGTCATTCACTTGTTAATTGATTCAATATGTATAGAGAAATACAAATGAGAAAGAACAAAAGCTATGAAGTGTGATGAAGAGAATGTACAGAAATGTCAGACCCTCCTTGCCCTCTGATTGCTCAGGGTCTGGTAAGGGAGATAAGTTGTGTCTTATGTAACACAAAATATTATAACAAGAGTCAGTGATTCCATTAGAGTGATAATAAGAACACAGGATAGGAGTCTGGTGAAGAGAGAAGCTATTTCCAGGTCACTTCCAGTCTTCAAGTTTCCCTTTAGTCTATAGAGGTGGCATGGTGAATTGGATATTGGACTGGGAGCTAGAAGATGGAAAATCCAGTGACAGTTTAACTTTGTATAGAGTTGCCAACCTGTAACAAAATATTTTTCTTAATATTCCTTTTGTTCCTTTTTTTTAAAAAGATTTTATGTATTTATTCATGAGAGACAGAGAGAGAGGCAGAAACACAGACAGAGGGAGAAGCAGGCTCCTCACAGGTAGCCCAATGCGGGACTCAATCCTGGAACCCTGGGATCACACCCTGAGCCAAAGACAGACAGACGCTCAACCCCTGAGCCACCCAGGTGTTCCTATTCCTATTTTTTTAAAATGTTTTATTTATTTATTTGAGAGAGAGAGAGAGAGAGAGAGAGAGAGAGAGAGAGAGAGAGGCAGAGACACAGGCAGAGGGAGAAGCAGGCTCCATGCAGGGAGCCCGACGTGGGACTCGATCCTGGGTCTCCAGGATCACACCCCAGGCTGTAGGCGGTACTAAACCGCTGCGCCACCAGGGCTGCCCCTTACTATTTTTTTTTAACGAAGAAATAATTTTATGAGTCCTGGGTAGTTTTGTAATATGTTATTCTGTCATTGATCAAGAATTTATTGTATGCCTGCTACTCACTGTGGTAGGGGTTGAGAATATAAAGATGAGCTAAGCACAGGTCGCTTAGTAGAAGACACAACTTTGGTGGTTTTTAGGGGAGGGGGCTAGTTTTAAATTTTAATTCCACTATCATTAACATACAGTGTACAATGTATGTTTGTACATACATACAAACATCTCCTTTGAGCTTTTCATTCCATTCTTTATAGTAAGTTATAATATCTTAAAATTAATACTCTTCTTAAACTTCACTCTCTTGAGTAACTCTCTTAGAGGCTGTTAGGATAAAGTCCAGATTCTTTAATGGCTTGTGACTTATGAGGCCTTCGGTAATCTGACCCCTTCCCATGTCTTATTGTTCGTCTTGCTCTTGCTAAGATCAGTTCTAGCTAAGTGATGAGTACTCTTCTAGGATTTTACTGTTACTCTATTTGGAACATCCTCCTCTCTTCAATCTCTCCTCCCACTCCCCTCCCCACTAACCTTTATCTGGACACTGCTTATTCATCTTTAGGTCTCAGATGTCACTTTCTCTGAAAGTCATCCCTAACCTTTCAAGACTGGGCTTTCTGCTTCTGTTTTCTATGACCATGCTGTGTTTATCCCTACTGTAGTTCTTGCCATATAGCATTTGCTCCCCAGTGTCACCCTGTAGATGGTAAACTCTATGAAGAGCTGAGTGAATAAGTACTTTCAGCTCTGCTCTGAACTAGCTTTATGATCTTTGGTCCGTCTGTCAATCTTCCTGAGTTCCTTCCTCATCTGTAAAATGAAGTAATTACATTAGATGACTTCAAAGAGTTCTTTCAGCTTTAAAAAATCCTGCCTTCCAAAATTCAATTTCTTTCCTATGTCCATTTAATTTGCAGTTGCTACATTGGAAACAAAGCTCATCTGATTTGCCTAATTAAATAATTAAAGAGTAACAAGAAGCTTTATACTTTCTCCTTGAATGAGTGCCAGTTCTTTTGTTGCTGTTTCTGTCTTGCTAATGGCACAAAGCCATTTTTGAATATAAGCATATTGTTCCTTATGCGCAAGGGCTTTTAAAATATCAAGTATTAAAAATATATATCAAGTATTTATCGTTTGCCAGGTTTCCTTTTCCCTGCACAAATTGAAGCACAATATAACTGCCTTTGGTAGTCATTGTCACAAATCCCCTTTTATCCCTTAACCTTTGCTGTCATGTGGGCTAACAGTGCAGTAGTTCTTGAAGGGCAGCACTCTACTATGGTGCTGTTAGTGACTGAATTGTAATCTGAGATGTAATTCCTGTGATCTTTATATATAACATTGGAATGTCATTAGTGTACATCTTGACACTCTTCTTAAAGTTGCCAAAGGTGGGCACCAACAGTGTAAGATCAGTGTCTAGAAGTGAAGAGGAAAGCAAGCAATCATACAGACTTAGTGGAAATTGCTTCTGCTTTCTAGAGCCGAAATTACTTACGTTTCCTTCCTTTTCATGCATTTGACTGTATTTCCTTCAAAGGTATAATTAAGCAGTGTTTTCAGTGCAAAACCCAATTTTCAGCAGTGGATTGGCACGTTGTCAGTCATACACACACATTGTCTGTGATTGTATCGAACTGTTAGCAACACCTAGAGAATTATTTTGTCTCTGACAGTAGGACAGAATAACTTGGAAGGCTGGTCCAGTCACGGTCATGGTCATGGTACTTGTTCCTCAGGTCTGAGCTCTCTCTACATTGCCAAGTGTTACTTTGTTACTCTGTAATTGAGGATAGCTGTGGGAGAGTAGAAATCATATTGGACTTGAAGGAAGAATACCATTGGATTAGAATATTGTTCAGTTTATGAGTTCTGGATCTTTAAGTAGAGTATTTGACCTCTGTTAGAACAAACCTCCAGGTTTTTTAATCAGTAAAATAATTGAGTTCACAAAAAGCTGCAAGGGCTGAGTCAAGTTTATGCGAAGATGGTATAAATCACAGATCACAGAAACAGATTGTAGATATATTGATATTGGAAAAACTTTATATCTTCAAAAGTAAGAATTTTACATCTGTTACTGTCGCCCGAAGTAGAGTTAGCTTTCTTATGACCTGTGATTCCCCATATCAGCCTGTTTGATTATCTTGAGAATCTATAATTCAGTGATAGTCTATGCTGAAAGAGGGTATTGAGTCACTTTTTTTGGGTAATATTTTTCATCTTGGAACCATATGTTAGTGTGTTATTAATTATTAGTGTGTTATTAATTATTATTGCTGTGTAACAGATTGCCCCTAAACCTTAATAGCTAGAAACAACGAGCATTTATTATCTCATAGTTTCCATGGGTCAGGATTCTGGGTGTGGCCTAATCAAGTGGTTCTGGCTGGCATCTTTCAACTGGCTGCAATCAAAGTGTTATCTGAGGTGGTCAGTGCAAGATTTGGGTAGGGTTAGATCTGTTTACCTAAGTGGTTGTTGGCAGGCTTCAGGAGATTGGTTTCCAAATTCCCTCTTGAGGTCTCTTCATAGGGCCACCTCACCTCATGACAGTGGTTTCCCAAGAATAAGAGAAAACACCCATAATAGAAGCCATGATCTTTTTGCAATCTCATCTCAGAAGTGACATGCCATCAGTTCTGCTGTATTCTGTTCCATAGAGGTAAATCAGGTAAACCCTGCCCACACTCGAGGGTAGGGAATGGGATACTGAGGTATGAATACCAAGAGGTAGGAATAATTGGGGGCTGTCTGAGAGGCTACTTGCCACAGGTGGATTACATACAGCCTTTGGATTGTAAAGTAGAGTCAGGATGGACTGGATTTCTAGTTTTGTAATTCTGAGTTATGTCTAGTTATTTTTTAATGTCCTCAAGTGGAAGTAGTGTTTTGAATTTGTTGGGGCCCATTCTAATGCCCATTTCACCATACTTATCAGTTTTAGCATAATGAAGATGACTGTCTTTTTTTTTAGCACCCTTGTCTGAACAGGGGTGGTCTAAGTGGTTGTGTAGAAGATAAGCCTGTTATAGTAGTTTTTGAAGTGCTATCAGAGGGAATAAAATCAGGTACCTTCAATATACTTTTGTTTTATAACAAATTATACCTTATGTTTGAAAAATTTATAAGGTTCTTGATAGCTTGTAACAGCCAACACTTTCCGAGCCTTTATTTAGGCTTCCAAGTATATGGCATTATGGAGTAGATTATTGGTAATCACTCTTTGATCACATAACAAATAATATTGTTCAGTTTCTCTAAGGAAGATTTTTAGGCATTTAAGAAAATCATTGGTTTTTGAGTAGTCTGCTTAGAACCAATTGTTATTAAACTGAAATAAATGTAGGTTTCTCTGTATTTCCCTGTCTTTTCTTAAAAACCAGATCTTCCTTCTGCAGAAAAGTAGCTTGGCAGAGAAGAAAGAGCATGGGACATGAGTCAGTATATCTGTAGTTTAGTCCTAGCTTTGTCTTTTAAATATGTATTTGACCTTGGAACACTCTTTTACCCTTTCTGACTTCAACTTTCTCATATGATGTTTTCTTCCAATTTAAAAATCCTACTCAATTTCTTTCTTCATCTAGGACAGTCTTGGGGGTAACAGCAAGACAGCCATGGTGGCCACTGTCAGTCCAGCAGCCGATAACTACGATGAAACCCTTTCAACTCTGCGGTATGCAGATCGTGCCAAGAACATCGTGAACCATGCTGTGGTGAATGAAGATCCTAATGCACGAATTATTCGGGATCTCCGGGAAGAAGTAGAAAAGCTCCGAGAGCAACTAACCAAAGCAGAGGTATAAGGCTCAGCCAAGCCACACTTTCTGGGTCTAGGAAAAGCTAGAATTTGAATTTTCTTCCCTTACTAGCTGTTAAGTGATAAGTACTCTACTTAGAATTTTTGAGTTTCCTATAGGAAGAGAAATTTGAGATGGTTGATAATAAAGACACATAGATTGTCATAGTTGAAATTTAGAGAGTTTTTAACAGTGAAAGGATTGAACAGGAGGAGAGAATAAAGAGAATGGAGAAAATGTTTCTTTCCATAGTAAAGGCTGCAGCCAAGAAGAGGTATAACAGAATAAAGGAGGGAGATGCTTGAAACAAAATGTATGCAATTTTAGTGCAGGAAATGGTAGAGAGTTACTGGAAGAGGACTCAAGCATATATTTGTTGTATTATTTGTTCACTGGTTGAAGGCAGAATGGATATCTTAAGGAAGTCTGAGATATCTTAATAATTAGTTTTTCCATGTTGTGGCTTAATTAGGTTTGTAGAAAAAAAATTTTCTTTTTGCTTTTTTGTTATATATCTTCAATTTTATTTTTTCTGTGGGGTTACAGTTGAGGGGAAACAGAAGTTTGGGTTGAGGAATAAACTGTTTTCCCAAAATTATATCCTGAAAGTTTTAAATAAGTAGCAGAAGAAGGGGAAGATAGGTAGTTGGTAAACTGGGGCTAAGGTTGCTCTCATATTTCTGCCACTAGGACGTCTGTACCAAACCAAATTATAACAGAGAAGAAAACTATTCTATATTTTGCTGATTAATGATCTAGACAAGAGACAGAGAAGGCAGTGCCACCACAAGTTCCCAAGAAGGAGGGGCACAAGTTTGTTCATTCTACTGTCTGTGTCTGAGATACAATCCCTTAGAGCCCATCAAAGAGTGGGAGGTAGCTATGTGGACTTGATTTGCTTCTGGACCTTTTCCAGAGCTTTCTGTCCAGCCATCGCTGATGAATGGCGACAAGGAAAGCGAGACCAGGGCCACACCCACCATGGCCCCTTCAGATTTCCAGAATAAGTGTTGTTCCATCAGAATTAAACTGTAGCTTTTGAATTCGTTCCTCTTAGAGGAGCTGCATGTGATTTTTCTCCACCTACCCTGTAAAGCCACACTCAGGTGGTTTTGGCGTGAAAAGTAGAACACGGAGCACATTCCCCTGCCACCACAAACTCTTCCACTCGCCAACACAGTAGATTTGAGGTGCTCACTGACCGCTTCTCTGCCTGCATAGGAGCCTCTGCTCAGCTGACTGGCTACGTGCCTCCGTCAGGATGCGTACACTGCAGTCCAGGTCAGGGCTGCAAAATGCTGGGACTCCTTGTCAGGGCCAAGACATTGCTGGGATGGCCCCACAGCCACCTGTGGACTGGGCTATGAGCTCACGTCCTTGGACCACATGGCCTTTGGGAAAGGCTGCGGTGTGTCTGGTCTAGTGCCCCATCCCCTCCGGGGCAGGGTCATCCCTGTCGTGGCCATCTTGCCCTGTGGATGATGCCAGGCCCTAGAAAAAATAAAGCAAAATTACCTATCTATTTAGGGGTGCCTGGCTGGCACAGTTAGGTAAGTGGCTGACTCTTGGTTTCAGCTCAGGTCATGATCTCAGGGTCATGGGATTGAGCACTGCCTTGTAGAGGTCTGTGCTCAGTGAGGAGTCTGCTTGAGATTCTCTGCGCCTCATGCTTATGCTCTCTTTCTCTCAAATAAATAAATCTTTAAAAAAAAAAGAAATACCCATTTATTGAGAGGTACCCTATTTCCACTACCCTTTGTACATTCTGTAATGTAAGGTGTTTATGTTCCATTATTGAATTTGAAACCTATACAGTTCTAACCTACAACAGAATTCTCATTCTCTTTTCAAAGGTGAAATATCAGTTTCAGGATTTCTAGTTTAATTAATATTCTTTACTCACGATTTCACAACACCATGGAACTGTTTCTTGGGGTCAGGACCATAGTCCTTTTCTTTCTTATAACCTGTTTTCTGGTAGTAAGTTGGTAAACCAGAATCAATACCTGAAGTCATCAGTAAAGATTAGAATGAATCCCACATCTGAGTCTAGATATACGACCTTTTGAGATTTAAAAATAAGCCCTTGAGAACTTGAACTTTCTGTTCAAGCTAAATGAAATTAGATCTTCACAGTAACAGTAGGTTGGAGGAAAGCAGTGAAGTCTTCCTTTCAAGCCCACCATAGGTAACTGAATGAGCTCATGGGATGAATCCAGTCTGGATGCTGTGCACCAGTGGCATTCATTGTTCTGTGTTAGGTAGATCGGAGATCTCAGTGAACTGTAGAGCTGCGAGGAGGCAGATTGTTACTTTTTCGTTCTGGATTTAGTTAATGCTTTCTTCAGGGTCTGGTACAGACATTTCATGTAACATATTTTTTGCTTGTAGGCAATGAAATCTCCAGAACTAAAGGACCGGCTGGAAGAATCAGAGAAACTAATCCAGGAAATGACTGTGACCTGGGAGGAGAAACTAAGGAAAACCGAGGAGATTGCACAGGTTCGTGCCTCCTGATTAAAGCGAGAGAAAGCTCATGGCAGTTTGTGCAATGCAACTCAGGTGGCATTTCTGGGTCCTTTTTTGATTTTTAGCCATGAAGATGGCAAATTTAGCACCATTAATAAGAACCTAGATCCAAGAGTCTGTACTTTTACAAAGGTAATTTGGAGGATAAAGAAGACATAATTACAATTAATAGTTCATTATGTAAGAAATAGTTTCAAGGTCATCAACATTTTTTAAAGGAAGTAACTACTTTGTAGCCTCTGACTCTGAACCCCCCAATTCTATTAAGTGCTTTGCAGACTTAAGGAACTTACCCAAACTACAAAATTGGTAGTGGTAATTAAGATATTAGCCTCTGGCTTTGTTATGACAACTCAGTAAAAGTAATATGAAATACCTAAATCTGAGCTGTGTCTCATGTTAAAAATACTTAATACAGGGGCACCTGGGTGGCTCAGTTGTTAAGTGTCTGCCTTTGGCTGAGGTCATGATCCCAGGATCCTGGGATGGAGTCCTGCATTGGGCTCCCTGCTCAACGGGGAGTCTGCTTCTCCCTCTCACTCTGCCTGCCACTCCTCCTGCTTGTGCACTTTCTCCCTCTATCAAAGAAATAAATAAAATCTTAAAAATAAGAATACTTAAAACAGGTAGAGTTGTGAAATTTTAGGGTGGGAACATTAGCATTTGAAAAGAATCCTAAATGTCCAGTTGTATACTTAGTGAAAGACTTTACTCCGTGCTTTCCTGTTAGATGAGTATTCAGCCTCTGTTTTAGAAATATATGTAGCAATGTGGAAGCAGTACCCCCTCAAGCAGCCTTTTCATGATTGGACAGCTCTGACGACTAATACTAGCTACTTAATCAAAATCTTTTATTCTTTCATTTCTGCTCATGGTCCTTAGTTTGATCTTCCAAAGCTGAGAGAATGAGTGCCCCACATATATAGAGTAACTAAGAGTAATAATAATAATAGCAAATATTTATTGAGTATACTGTGTTGGGCCCTATGTGAAGCCCTTTTAAATTACAATATTTTATTTAATCCCCCCCCATCAACCCTACAATACAGGGACAGTTATTACCTGGATATTTAAGGTAACTTCTGCTTCTTCCCCTCCTTTTCTAAAGTTAAAAATCTCTAGGAGGCACCTCCGTGGCTCAGATGGTTAAGTGTCTGCCTTCGGCTCAGGTCGTGATCTCATGGTCCTGAGATCAAGCCCCATGTTGGGCTCTCAGCTTAGTTGGGAGCCTGCTTCTGCCTCTGCCCTTCTGCCTGCTTGTGCTCTCTCTCTCTCTCAAGTTAATAAATAAAAAAATTTTTTTAAGATTTTTTTTTTATTATTTATGATATATATAGAGAGAGAGGCAGAGACACAGGCAGAGGGATAAGCAGGCTCCATGCCGGGACCCCGACGCGGGACTCGATCCGGGGACTCCAGGATCACACCCTGTACCAAAGGCAGGCGCTAAACTGCTGAGCCACCCAGGGATCCCCCTAAGTAAAAAAATCTTATTTTTTTCAAAATAGTGTTTTCAACTGTTCCTCATATTAGTAAATACATAGAACATACAAAATACATACAAAATAGTGTTTTCAACTGTTCCTCATATTAGTAAATACACAGAACTTGCTACTTCTTTTGTCACCCAGAAGGTTCCATCCTCAAATGTGCTGTCCAGAATCGACCTATACATCAAGTGTTGTAGGATGTTACTACTATTAAGTAGCTTAAAGTAGGTGTTATATTATATTAGTGCAGGCTAATTTTTAAATATTTTTTATTATGATCCTTTTCTTTCTTTCTTTCTCTTTTTTTTTTTTTTTTTTACAGATTTTATTTATTCATGAGAGACACAGAGACAGAGGCAGAGACATAGGCAGAGGGAGAAGCAGGCTCCCTGCAGGGAGCCCAATGTGGGACTGGATCCCGGGTCTCCAGGATCACGCCCTGGGCTGAAGGTGGCACTAAACCACTGAGCTACCTAGGCTGCCCTATTATGATCATTTTCAAAATAGATAAAAACAAGAGGAGAGTATAATGAATCCACATGTACCATCACCCAGTTTCATTGAAAATCAGGATATGATCCAATCTTGCCTTATCTGTATCCGTAAACTAGGTTATTTTAATCCATATCCTTCAAATCTCAAGAGAATATCCCAGTACATGAATTTTATTTCTTATTTTATATCTCACTTTTTGTTTTTCTTAGATTATAAGTCATTTTACTAATTATCCAGTGTAGAGCTAATTTGTGTGAGCCTTTTTGAGCTACTCCAAAAAAAAAAAAAAAAACATTGACTTTGAAGTGCTATTGTATTTGAGTTGCTGTGCTGATACAAGCAGGGTAGGTTTAAGTGAAATTGGAGTGCTCATGCTGGTGAATCTTTTCTTACCTAACTTCTCTTCCTCTGTCAGATGTCCCTTTTGAGGACTGGGCCTGATTTTATCCAACACTTCATTTAACACCTTATCTTTCCAAGCCCCCAGGCTTTCCTGGTACTGAACTTGCTTCTCTCTCTTGGGAAAAGACCTGGTCTCTTGGTCATTGACCTTTTTTTTTTTTTTTTTTTTTTTTTAAAGAGACTAGCATTTCCTAAAATGTATTTCTGGCAATATAGCCACCACTTGTTAATAAGTCTTTGGGGAAGAAAAATGGTCCATGGTCAGATAGCTTTGGAATGGTGTCCCTAAAAATAGAAAAATCCTCAGGCTGTGATTTAATTATACTGCAAACTTACTATGTGGCTCCAGTTAAATGACTTAGTTTGTCTTGTCTTTCCTCACATCAAAGGCTTTTGGTGCCTGTGACTCATTACCACTTGCTATTTATATATAGTCAAAGATACCCTGCTCTTCCCCAATTCACATACCTTATTGCAGGAATCAAGAGTATCCCCTTTTATGCATACATTTGTATGTTGTGTGGATTCAGAGACAGGTAGGCACAAAAAGGAAAGGTTCATATTCTTATGAAAATAGTACTTGAATGCGTATGCAAGTTTTATTTTGGAACAATCAAAAGACTGATGTTTTGAGCGCTCACTGTGTGTTATGTACTGTGCTAGGTGCTAGGAATTCATGGTGGATAGATAGGATCCATGCCCTCATTGAGAAATGATCAAGTAAACAAGTATGAGTTACCAAGTATGAGAACAAGTAGGCTTCAGATAGAAGAAACAGGTGTAAAATCTCTTAAGCTAAGGAGAACATTCTTTCAGGGACCTGGAAGAGTTCCATATAACTATAGCACAGACTCTGAGAGTAGGAGTGATAAAACATGAAGACAGAGGAAACAGATCAAAGGGCCTTGTGGACTTTGTTGAGGGAGTTTGGCCTTTATCCTGGTTGGGGAGTCACTGAGGCTAGCAAGAGATTGTATTGAAAATTTGGCCTTTTGGAAAGATTCACAGTTGGTAAAATGTGTATGTACAGAATTAAATGAGAAAGATGAATTCAAGATGTTAGATATTTTCAAGTTTGAAAATTAAGAACTCCGTGGTATACTTGGTTGCTATTGGTAATGGCTTTATTTCTCTAAATAAAGTTTTAATTAACAAAATAAAATAACATATTTATTACATATTTATTTAGAAAGAGAAGTTTAGGAAGAGAAGAAGTGCTATAATTTATAATACTATGTCCTAAGATTATATATTTGAATCATAAAGTTATTTAGTAATTATTCCAATATAAGATCTTTTATATCTTGCTGTGTCAATAGCTATAGAATTAATACTTCTCTAATACATTTATAGGAGCGACAGAAACAGCTTGAGAGTCTTGGAATATCTCTTCAATCTTCTGGGATTAAAGTTGGGGATGATAAATGCTTCCTTGTTAATCTGAATGCTGATCCTGCTCTGAATGAACTTCTGGTTTACTATTTAAAGGTGAGGTGCTTTGCTACTATTTCCTGCCATAATACAGAACAATTTTTCATAGTATTTTTTTTAAACTTGGAGAACCATGCTTGTTCCAAAATAATGAATTAGCAAATTGTTATTATTTGAATAAGCTGGAGTATAGAAAAATCTTGAGTTTCTGGGATTAGTTTCCCTTTTTAGTCTTTGAGTGATTTAATTCAACCTAGTAATATAAAAAATAATATTCTGATATTATTTCCAAGAAATTAAGTAGTTTAGCTACTATTATCGACTATGAATTATACTGGGGAGTTAAAGAGATGACTTTAAAACTTAAAGAATGGCTTTTAAAACTAAATGATTTATTAGTAGACTAAAGCTTTCATGGTATATATGAAGCACATTTTTTGTAAATGGTTAGATTGCAAGAGGAATGTTTAAAGAAAGTTATGTTGTGAGGCCACTTATTATGAATTTTATGTTTCCAGTAATTTAGGAAAATTTAAAAGTTTGGATTATCAACTTATAAAAAAATCAGTCACTAAAAGATTGAGGGGATCAGAGTATGAAACAGAAAAAACCCCAAGTAGTGATGGATGTTGAATCTGTAAATTGTGAGATATCTCAGGGAGACAAGAGACAACTTCAGAATAAGTGGGAATCCTGAAACACTACATAAATTATTAGGAGCTCATAAAATTGCTTTGTCATGGCCAGAGCATAAGTGAATTAAATAAGGGACTACGTGATTCTGGCATGTGGTTAGTAAACACGGGGAGGAAGTCCCCCCCCCCCTTACAAAATAGTCACTATATATGTAAGTTTAACTAAGGTGACTAGGAAGTTAAAGATAATGAGCTTGTGAACTTAGAAACTGCTTTAAAATAAAAAATAAAACAAAACTGTGGCTTCATTTCTAAAGAGACTAAAGAATTCACAACACATTGGCTAGTTCCCAGTTTTTATCAAAGATACCGTGTCATAATTAGGTTTGTGTTATTTTGCTGAAGCCCCATTATTAATGAGCGTCTGATACCATGTTTTATTACGCTATGAATTAAATTGTGTTTTTGATACATACAGCATGTGTGCACTTTCAGGTATTGTGCTCGAATGGGAGCAACATTAGAGTAGCTGGGAGATGACTGATGTTTTTGTCTGGGGTACTGCTTAACAAATGTGTAATCTCAAGTCTTTTGCCCCCTTCAGTCTATACATTCCTCCTGTATAAATGGATGCTTTGTCTGGCTACCTCAAAGGTTCCTGTGAGGGTTAAATGAGATTTGATATATACAAGTACTTTATAAACAGAAGCACTATATAAATATTCCATATTTCATATTTGATACTCTGTGTGGCACCATATATTATCCTTGTCTATTGAAAAAAGGGTAAATGATTACATCACATTCTGTGTTTCTTAATGATGATGGTAGCATTTTGTGTTAGAGTTTCAGCTATAGATATCCAAATGCTTTAGGAGAGGTGCTGTATATAGTTAAGACTCAAATAGTCTGCCCTGTTTATTTCCCAGGACTCTGAATTCTTTTTCATTCTGATGTGATGAAGTTCAAATTAGAGCACACAAACACATACGCCCAACAAGAGAAAAACCTGATTCATATCTGTTCCTTAACTAAAAAAATCAAACAAAGAAACTATTTAAAGACTTTTGGAAAGTAGTCAGAATATTTCTGGTCATCTTGTGTGGAGGTGTCGGGATTCTGTTTCAGACTGTGTGGTCAACCCTGTTTTGGCAGAGTTTGAGGCAGTGTTGATTTCTTCACTGCGCAAGCTAACCCCACGACAAAAGCATATTCATGACCAAGCACATTCAGAAGGATGATCTCAGTCCAAGAACAGTTTTTTGCTTCAGTAAAGTGATACCATGATGTGGGAAGGAGGAATTTGGAGGCTGAGCATTTTTTTTTTTATTTCTTGCCTTCGAATTCTGAAATCAATTTAGATGCTGGGCAGATGACTTCACATCCCTGGGTGATTTTCAGCACCCCATCTATAAAATGAGGGCACTGGATTAAATCACCTCTAATGTTCTTTCTAGTTCCAAGTGGTAAGATTCTCTTCCAGAATCCTCTATTTATTTATTTAGTCTGGAACTGGCAGCCACAGAGTATGGTGGCCAAACCATAGATGGAACATAACTCACAAGATAATTTTGCATATAATTTGCATGCATGGGCAGTCCTCGTGTTGCATGGTTCCAACACACACAAATTCCAGTTACCACAATTTAGTAAATAATGTTGATGCCAGTGCTGTTCGTGAAATTCTATGTATGCAGCCAGAGAAATTTAGTGAGGGTGAGTTTATCGATGTAAATTGTGAAAGTGTGATGAGAAGGATGAAGATATGCCAAAGGGAGTGACACCAGAGAACACTTCACATTAAAGGAGCTCTTGGAAATATTTTGAAGCATCAGGAGCACAGAGGTTAAAATGGTAGACACTTAAAAAGGAGTATCACAGTTTGCCACAGCACAGAAAATATGCTCACTCTATATTGTATTTTATATATATATATATATATTGAGAAGAAGGCAAGTACTGTTCAACTACTCTGGATAAGTTTTACACAAAGGAAATGCTTTAAATTTCAATGTGTCTGATATTCTAAATTACAGTATTCTAAATAGTTTTACTACTTCTTCATTTCTCTGTATGTTGTAACAGTAAGATAATTCTTAATGATGTTTTTACAGACTTTTAAAATTTATTAATTAGCTTATTTTATTATTATTATTTTTACAGACACTTTAAAAAGTCACAGAATAATTGTGGTTTTCCCCATTGATGATGATGATGATGATGATGATGATTTTTAAAGATCTTATGTATTTATTCATGAGATATACACAGAGGGAGAAGAAGCAGGCTCCCTGTGGAGAGCCCGATGCAGGACTCCATCCCAGGACCCCGGGATCACGTCCTGAGCCAAAGGCAGAATGCTCAACCACTGAGCCATTCAGGCATCCTTTCCCCGTTGAATATTAAGATCTCCTTGCAAAGTTATTTTTTTAAGTTATTTTTATAATCCTGTGTTCTTATGCAAAGCAAGGACTGCCTATGATTCTGAGATAGCCTTGGAGACTTATACCAGCACTGGCTGGGCTTCTAGAGGGAAGAACTGCTTCCCCTACCTTAAAAACATTATGCTCGTAATACACTTTGTTTTCTAAAGAGTTTTATAAACACATATTAGAAAAAGAGGGGGGATTCATGCCCAGATTCCAACATGCAGAGATGACCACAGTTAATATTTAATAGTTTTATCCATATCCTCTGGATCTTTTCTGTATCTATAGACTTATACTGCTACATATTTTTTTGTTACAGAAATAGGATCAAAGTAGGATTGATTTTAAGCATGCCTCAGAATTATCCACCAAATCTTTCATGAGGGCTCTTTGGTTATGCAATTCTGAATCTGCTCTTTTCATGAGTCAGCTATTAATGGCCTGGGAAACTAGGCTGATTCTGAAGGATTTGAGGCAAATTATACATGTACATACTCAAGAAGGATTCATACCTTAAAAAAAAAAAGATTTTATTTATTCATGAGTAAACAGAGAGAGAGAGAGAGAGAGAGGCAGAGGCATAGGCAGAGGGAGAAGTAGGCTCCTCACGGGGACTCAATCCCAGGACTCCAGGATCACGACCTGAGCCAAAGGCAGATGTTCAAACACTGAGCCACCAGGAGTCCCAGGATTCATACCTTGATAAGTGATTCAGCAGTAGCTTTAAAACACATGTTGATCCAATAGCATATCTCTCATTGAAGGTAAACTGCCTGGTGTCATCCTTGTTAGTATTCAGTCACTGATTGAGGTGATCCTGGCAATGGCACCAGCCATTCAGTGTTTGTGGAGCTACGCGTAGGTTTTGAGGACCCCAAGAGAAGCAAGACACAGTTATGCCACATTAAGAGTTTTTGGGTTGGCAACTTGAATTTATAAGAGATGGAAAGATACCTTCTTGCCTTTTTCACCACCATTCCAGAAAAGCTGTCCTCAGAGTCTTGGTTCTGTTAAGCCAGTGTGATTTCTTTATTAAAGAATTTTGAGGGGATCCCTGGGTGGCACAGCGGTTTGGAGCCTGCCTTTGGCCCAGGGCGCGGTCCTGGAGACCTGGGATCGAGTCCCGCGTCGGGCTCCCGGTGCATGGAGCCTGCTTCTCCCTCTGCCTGTGTTTCTGCCTCTCTCTCTCTTTCTGTGTGACTGTCATGAATTTTAAAAAAAAATTATTATTTAGATATGTGAAGAATAACAAGTACTTTTCTGCTTAGTGTCCCTGGTACTCGCTTACCTTTTCCTTCAGAAATTATCTGAGAATACTGATAAGGCTGAGGGACCTCACTGGCTTTACTGACATGCACCTTTTCCTTCTTGCAGGCTTGGAAAAGCTTGCCCTGTGAAATATGTCACTGTGGACCAGTCCTATCTCTTTATTTTCCTTTCTTTCCTCCCTCCTTTCCCTTCCCCGTGCCCCTCTCTCTGTCTTTCTTTCTTTTAGGACTTAGTTGATCAGAGGGAGATTCTCAAAAGAGCAACATAAATGGTTGATTTATAAAAGTATAAAAGTACTTAGTAAATTGATAGAAGAGTTCATCATCTCCAATGAAATTAAATTTAAGTGGATTAAAGAAAGGTTAAAAAGCCATTTCTAGCTTTTCATTATTTCTGAGATTTTTAAATCTGGTGTTTTATATTTGTTAAAGTTTTCTCTAAAATTAGTATACTTTAAGAATTATCATATCCAGGGATGCCTGGGTGGTGCAGTTGGTTGGGCCTCCAGCTCTTGGTTTTGGTGTAGGTCATGATCTCAGGGCTGTGGGATCAAGCTGTACATCGGGCTCTGTGCTTGGCTCAGAGTCCACTTGGGACTCTTTCTCTCTAAAGTAAACAAATCTTAAAAAAAAAAAAAAAGAATCCTTATATCCATATATCACATAGAGACCAAAAAGCCACCCTTGATTAACTTTATCTTATTTTTGATTACCTTGTACTTTCATAACATTTATTCATTAGATAAACTCCTGTGCCAATCCATGATAAGTTTATTTTTTCCCTCATTAGTATTTTTATTGCAGGGTTTAGAGCACAATAGGAGGAACTTATCAAAAAGCTTTTTGTCTAACTTGTTTAAATATTAAACTGTAAGGCTTTGGCAGATTGAGCTTTTAGAGCTTAATGTTTGAGATTCCAGTGAATCATCATCCAAATTAGAATAGATTATAACCTCAAATGAGAGATTTGTCACCGAGATTGTAAGCACCACAAAATTGGGACTTTGTCTCTCTTTTGTTTCCAGTGACTCAGTGCCCAGCTCATAATAGGTGTTCAGAATAATATTTGTTGAGAAAATGAAGTTTTCCTTCTAGAATTTCGATTAGACCTTTGCATGTTTGTGTTAATACTTGTCTCTAATAAGTTTTAATTCAGTCTATCAACAAATACTTAGCATCTACCATGTATCATGTACTGTGCTTATTTTTGGAGAAGATACAGGAGTCCTGTAAAAGGTTGCTGTCTAAATAAAGGGAAAAGAAAACATTTGTGCAAGAGGTCATAATGTGGTACCCACTCTGAGTGTAATCAGGTTCAGAGAAGGGAGAAGTCAGTGCTGCCCAGGGATGAAACTTTCAAGTAGAAGATGACACTAGACCTAGTTATTGAAAGACATTTCTATTTAGATGAGGTGAAGAGGGAGTATTTCAGGCAAAGAAAACAAGAGCACGGGCACAGACATGGGTCTGAACCTGTATGTGGATGAAGTATGGTAGTAGGGATTATTTCTATACTCAGACTCCAACCTAGGGCATATAGCCCAAGGATTACCTCCACCTCCACTTCCACCAAAGTCACTGTTAAGATGCCTAGAATTTCTTACAGGAGGACAAATGGGATTATACATGGAAATGGCCTATGCCAAGTGCTTTGGGGATGTTTCTTCTTTTTTAGGAGACCTTGGGCCCCTTTTCTCTTTAGACTTTTTCTTTTTTTAAGATTTTATTATTTTTAGGTAATCTCTACATCCATTGTGGGACTTGAATTCACAACCCTGAGATACAGAGTCACATGTTCCTCCAGCTGAACCAGACAGTCACCCTTCTCTTTAGACTTTCCCCCCTCCTTTTGGAACTTCTCTCCACCATAGGGTTGGTTTTGTAAAGACAGGGAGGGAAGAACCAAAGTGGGGAATGGAGACAGGCATGGAATAGATTCTTTAACCCTGCTACCAAACATCATAAGCATTACTTGGCAGTTTCCACGTAGTCAGGTCTTGTTCTCCAGATTAAGAAAGTGTGGGGATTGGCCAGGAAATCTTAGCCAATAGTGAGGAATAAAGGTTATGTGTGGAATGTCCTCTGTATTATATACACTCCTTGGGGATTGAGAAAGATACCATGGGGCAGCTCTGGATCCCAAATCTTTGTTTCCTTAGAAATTCCACTGCACTATAGTTGAGTAAAGAAACCCCTGGAGAAGGGGAAATGAAAATACTAGTGGGGAAGGGCCCCTTTTATGAGATTGAGGTCCCAGAAGAGATGGGAGGCACTGGGATCCACAACATAATTAATAGAGTTATTAGCAAAGAAGGGGAGTGAATCATCTTCCACGGAGTCTGAAGGGAAATGATTATTCATTTATTTTTCATTTATATTTATTTAATACTTAACTGTGGTAGGCTTGTGTTATATGCTTGGATTACAATAGAGAGCGGGTCAGGCTGTTCTCCTCTTTTGTGGCATTTCCAGGCTAGCTGTGGAGATAGGCACTGAACCTGACAGTCAATTCTATGTAAGGAAATGAAATAGAACGATGGGGTGGTTATTTCTGATTATCGGTTCAGGGTATATCTCTCTGTGAATGTGCCCTTTAACAGTGAGATAGAAATGATAAGAAACTATCAATATCAAGGTGGGGGGGGGGTTCAGACCAAGGAGACCTCCAGTATGCTCAAAGGACAGATAAAAGGTCAGTGTGGCCTTATTTTCCTCTAGAAGAAGGGGAAGTGGTAGGAGCTAGGATAGGAGAAGTAGGTGGGGCCAGATCACTGAGTGTTTTTTTGTAAGCCTGAATAAGAATATGGACTTCATTAGAAGTTCAAAGGGAAACCACTAGAGGGTTTTAAATAGGGAGATCATATGATCTGCTGTTGTCCTAGTAGTAGATGGGGTTGGAGGATTGATTAGGAGTGGAGAAATCGTAGAAGGTTCATATATTCACCCCAGAAAAAGAGCAGGGTATGATAGTAGAGGTGGGAGAGAATGAGCTGATTCTCAATGTTTTGGAGGAACAGTCTGTAGGGATGTTCTGATTGACATGGGCCCAGTGATAGGCTAGTAAGGGAAAGAGAGGACTCTGTAGCATCTAAGCTTTTTAGCTGACTATCAGGAGAAGAGAATAGATTCTTCATTGGGTTGGGGTTGGGGGAGCAAAAGTTCTGCTTTGGCCCTTTCACTTTAAAATGTCTTTAGACACTCACCTGCCTCTCTCACTCACATACATACATACATACCTACATAAAATGCTAAAAAAAAAAAAAAAAAGAAAAGGAAGAAATATCTTTAAGCAGCCACGTAGGCAAGAAATAATGGTTAGTGAGACTGGAATAGTGATAGTGGAGGCAGGAAAATAATGGTACTGAAGTCTCTAGTTCCCAGCTGGTGATTTAATTTATATAGAGACAGTGTTGTAGACAGGTGGAATCTAAGGACCTATATGGGGTCCTGCAGGACCAGCCAAGAAGGTACTTGCCTTCACACAGGGTAGAAATCAAACGAAAGCCAAGAAGAAGAGAGGGCAGAGTTTATTGAAGACAGAGAAAGCGTTCTGGGAGATTCGGAAAGGAAAGGAGAGTCCTTCTCCTTTTTGCTTGGGGCCTGAGGTGTTTTATTGAGGATTATGTCTTCTCAGGCATCCAGGAACAAAGAGCAGGGCTTAGGTGGCCTCCATAAGCTACTTATGCCCTAGAGCCAGAGGTCTTGGTGAGTCAGTGGTCTTGGTCATTCCTTGGATGATATCTGTTGTGCTGCAAGACTCCAAAGAAAGCATTAACTACTTGGCCTTTACAAGGAGAACATACATTAGCAGTTCTATAAGGTGTGTGTTGGGGAGAGAGGAGGTTATAGGTCCTTGCAAGAATAGGAGCAGGAAAAGGAGCAGGAAAGCAGTTTTTCGGGGGTCTCTGGGTGGCTCAGTGGTTTAGTGCCTGCCTTTGGTGTGATCCTGGAGCCCCAGGATCGAATCCCACATCAGGCTCCCAGCATGGAACCTGCTTCTCCCTCCGCCTGTGTCTCTGTCCCTCTCTCTCTCTCTCTTTCTATGTCTACCATGAATAAATAAATAAAAACTCTTAAAAAAAAAAAGCAGTTTTTCATGGGGTCTCTGTTTCAGCAGTATTTAAAATTCATGGGACTAGATAAAGTCCTCATGATCAGGGGTCAGCAACTAGCTATTCCACTGGCCAAATCTAGCCAGTGGCTTCTCTATGGCATGGGAGCTAAGAATGGTTTTTTACATCTTTTTTTAAATGGTTGAAAAAAATTAGAAGAAACACAGTATTTCAGACACATGAAAACTATATGCAGTTCAGATTTCAGTGTTCATAAATAAAGTTTTATTGGAAAGTAACCTCACTTGTTCATTTGTGCATTGTCTGTTTTTGCATTACTACGCAGAGTTCAGTGGCTGCATATGACTTGCAAAGCCTAAAGTATTTTGTATCTGACTCCTGATTTAGGTGTATGGAAGGAGAAGGTGGCCTAAGGACACAGTCAGGTGTTATCAATGTTTAATTATGTACGGGTAGCCAAATGTTGAGGTGCGTAAGAGGGAGCTTGATTTTTATGTCCGCTTTCTCAGTTGCCAGCCAAAAAGCAAGGCTATAACTGGGGCTTCAAAAAATGAGTAATTGCGGCTCTACAGCAAGAAGAACATATCCATCATATCTTCTATGAGGATTAGGGAGACTGGGTTTATGAAATAGTTTTAATCTTTCCACACTCCTTAGATTTGGATAGCTTTTTATCTTTCTAGTTGACTCATCTTGATTGACACCAGGTATATGATG